TGCTCAGCCAAAGATTCTCCACTCACTATCCATGCTCAGTTAGGTCACCCCAGTATTTCCAAATTACATAAATTGGTGTCAAATTTATCAAAGGTATCTAACTTACATTGTGAGTCGTGCCAGTTAAAGAAACACACTCGTAGTCAATTTCCCAATCGAGTCAACAAACGAGCTTCGTCCCCTTTTGCTTTAGTCCACACCGATGTTTGGGGTCCCTCGCGTACTGTCTCTACTCTTGAGTCTAGGTATTTTGACACCTTTATAGATGATTTTTCACGTTGCACATGGTTATTTTTAATGAAGAATAAATCTGAATTGTTTTCCATTTTTGAACAATTTTATCGAGAAATAAGAACCCAATTTGGTTTGTCTATTCATACCTTAAAAAGTGACAATGCACGTGAATATTTATCCCAACAATTTCAAACATTTATGTCATCCAATTGTATTTTGCACCAAACATCTTGCCCTCATACACCCCAACAAAGCAGGATAGTTGAGCGCAAAAATTGACACCTCGTAGAAACCACTCGGACTCTACTTCTCCATGGTTTTGGGGAGATGCGGCGCTCACGGCATGTTACCTCATAAATCGCATGCCCTAATCTGTCCTTAATAATAAAAACCCTCACTCAATCCTGTTTCCAAACTCTCCACTCCACTCAATTCCTCCTCGAATCTTCGGATCTACGTGTTTTGTACACAATCTCTCCCCTGGTCTTGATAAACTATCAGCTCGATCACTAAAGTGTGTCTTTCTTGGCTATCATCGATCCCAAAAGTGTTATCGTTGCTGCTCACATACTCTACAACGATACCTCGTATCCGTCGATGTTACCTTCTTCGAGTTTGTTCCATATTTCGAGTCCAGCCAAGTAACTACCGAACCTCTATAGGAAAGTATTCCCACACCTCTTCCGGAAGTCTCATCTGTCATTATCCCCCATCATTTTAGAGAACCTGACCCACTAGATACCCCTACGGTTAAACCCAACCCCCCCCCCCCCCCAACTCCTCGCCCACTTCAAACATATCAGCGTCGTCACCCAAGTCTGTCGTACCTGTCCCTGAAGTCTTACCTGCCCCTGAGGTCACTACAGACTCTCCTCCGACGCTCTCGCATCACCGGATTCGATCCTGCAACCTTCTGATCTTCCGATTGCCCTACAAAAAGGTATACGTCAAACACGAAATCCTTCTCCACATTATATTGATTTATGTTATCATCGTTTTTCCCCTTTGCAGTATACTTGTTTGTCTTCTTTGTCTTCTGTTTCTATTCCTAAAACTCCAGGTTAAGCATTATCTCACCCTGAGTGAAACAAGCAATGATTGATGAAATGTGTGCTCTTCAAAGCCGTGGTACCTGGGAACTGGTTCCTCTACCCCATGGGAAATCTTTAGTAGGTTGTCATTGGCTTTATACAGTGAAGGTTGGTCCAGATGGTAAAATTGATCGATTTAAAGCTCGCTTGGTAGCCAAAGGATACACTCAGAATTTTGGGTTGGATTATAGTGATACCTTTTTTGCTTGTAGCCAAGATGGTATCTGTTAGGCTTTTTCTAGCCATTGCAGCCATTCGACATTGGTTTCTTCATCAACTTGACATCAAAAATGCATTCTTACATGGTGATCTTGAAGAGGAAGTATATATCGAGCAACCACCTGGATTTGTTGCTCAGGGGGAGTCATCGAATATGGTTTATAGGCTACACAAGTCTCTTTATGATCTTAAGCAATCTCCGAGAGCTTGGTTTGGTAGATTCAGCATTATAGTACAACAGTTTAGTATGATCCGTGGTAATGCTGACCATTCTATTTTTTATCGTCACTCACCCCAAGAGTGTATTTATCTTATTGTGTATGTAGATGACATTGTCATAACTGGTAGTGATCAGCAGGGAATACTCCAGTTGAAACAACATCTCTCGAAACAATTTCAGACAAAAGATCTTGGTAAACTCCGCTATTTCTTGGGTATTTAAGTAGCCCAATCTAAAGATGGTTTGGTGATTTCTCGGCAGAAATATGCTATGGATACTTTGGAAGAAATAGATTTGTTAAATGTTAAACCAACCAATACTCCTAAGGATCCAAGTGTTAAACTACTACCCAATCACGAGGAACCTCTATCTGACTCAGGAAGGTATAAGAGATTGGTTGGAAAGTTGAATTATCTTACACTCACTCGTCCGGACATTTCTTTTGCAGTCAGTGTGGTAAGCCAGTTCTTAAATTCCCCTTGTCAGGAACACATGGATGCTGTAATCCGGATTCTGAGATACATCAAATGTGCTCCAAAAAAAGGTCTTTATGTATGAGGATAAACGACATACCCAGATAATTGGATACTCCGATACTGATTGGGCAGGGTCACCCATTGATAGATGATCCACCTCTGGGTATTGTGTACTTGTTGGAGAAAACCTTATATCCTGGAAAAGTAAGAAACAAAATGTAGTTGCAAGATCAAGCGTCGAGGCAGAGTATAGGGTCATGGCAATGGCAACATGTGAACTTATTTGGTTAAAACAGTTGCTCAAGGAACTTCAAATTGAAGAAGCAAGACCAATGACACTTATTTGTGATAATCAAGCTGCATTGCGCATTGCTTCAAATCCAGTCTTCCATGAGAGGATCAAACATATTGAAATAGACTGTCACTTTGTCAGAGAGAAGATCGAGTCAGGCGACATCGTCACAAATTTTGTCAACTCTAATGATCAATTGGCAAATGTGTTTACAAAATCCCTACGAAGCCCCGGAACTAACAATATATGTAACAAGCTTGGCGCATTTGACTTATATGCTCAAACTTGAGGGGGAGTGTTAATATTTTTAAATATATAGTGTTAAGAATATTTGTATATAGAATAGTTTCACATCGACTATATCATGTAATTAGTTATAATCTATCAATATATAATAATGTCTCCGTAGTGCTTTTCAAAACACACGGTTTATTCAAACGTCACTTAGTCTCTTGTATTTCAAGATCATCCAAATCAAACAACAAAGCTGTTACAGTAAGTTTTACCTTCCCAATATCAATGATCAAATTTCTACACTCTCCCTAAGTCTTAGCTTAAAACCATCACTCATCTTCACTGGTAGTGGGATTGTATCATCCACCTTCCATCCCATAGCATGAACCAGATTCTTTGAGATGAAATTATGTGTAGCTCCTCTGTCAATTAGCATTAAAATTGGAACATTTTGCCTTTCAACTTCATAGTACGTAATTTCGATTTACCTGTAGTGATTAGACCACTAAGACTCATAACACTCAGTTCTCTCTCCTCCTCATCACCCTCATCTCCCAAACCATTTCGTTCACCTCTATCTTGTCGTCATCATCTTCTTTGGTAACCATAATACGCAACTGCCGATCTGGACACTGATGGTGTGGATGATAGTTTCCACCGCATCGGAAACACAACCCTTTCTGTTTGCGATCAGCGATCTCTTGAGAAGAGAGATGACGTATCCCTCGTGAACCCTGATTTCACCTTTTAGGTCGGGTTTCTATTTTAGGGTTGCCTCCAGATCCCTTTTTCTCCTGCACTTCTTTAGACCTACGTACCATAACCCAATCACTATTTCTATTGCGACCCATATGGCTTGACCCGGATCCACTTGACCCATTAACTTTAGTTTGGGAAACCCACCCACTTGATCCACGTGAACCACTAAACTGATACCCACTGAAAGGATTCTCCTGGACCTCCCTCTCAATAGCACGTGCAATATTCATCAAACGCGTGCATGATAAAGTTCCCGTCGTCTTCAAGCTGCGAACTCGTCCTCTGATTCCTTCACGCAAACCATGGAGAAAATACCCCATGTATTATGCCCCATGTATTATGCATCTGGGATTCGAGGAACCTGAGCCACCAAATGTTCAAATTCTTTTATGTAATCTTCAACATCACCTTCTTGTTGTAACGATGCTAATTGTTCATAAACATCGCCCTCTCCGATTCCCCCATACCTCTCTAACAGGGCCTCTTTAAACGAACACCGTGTCAGATCTTCTTCATCTAACAATGCTTTGATAAAATGTATGGTTGACCCTTCCATACATAACTGAGCTAAGGTCACCTTCAACTCTGGACTAGTATCCTGTACCCTAAAATAAACTTCAGCTCGAGCAATCCATCCGGAGGGATCTTCTCCGTTGAACATGGGAAGCTCTACTTTCTACACGGATCTGCGAAATTCTTCAAGTTGATCATCCTGGAACAACTTCTTAGGTGTGAGATCAGCCTTCAATTTTTCCTTCACTTCCCTTGTAACTATTGATACTCCTTCGGTGGTTGATTTATCCTGTGTGAGTAAAGTGAACAACCTCTCATAGTTCTCATTTGCCTTCGCTTGCATCTTGTCCATTTTCATGTCCAGATTCTCTATATTTTGCTCCAGTGCTGCTACTTTATCTTCCATCTTGTGTTTCCGGGTCATTCAACAATCTGGCAGGTCGGACCAATTTGATAGAAACCAGAAAATAAGTGTAATAAAACAGTAACAGAAAATCAATTGAATTGGTAAAAATGCTTGTCTAATATTGATGAGGAAGTAGAAAACAGTAGAAAGGGAAAACTCTCCCTAACTACCCACAGAGCAAAATGCTCCACAGAGAAATACTCTCTGCCTAACAGAATGCAAAACATACTTCTGCATGGCCCTTACCCCACTCTTCCACTACTTTTATAACGAAAATGTAATTACACGATTCCCATCATTCAGACCCTATTGCCACATCAGCAGTGGTCCCTACTTTCTATTTTTTCTCACATACACCTTCCAAAATTTAGGACCTGTGACTCTATCATATATGATGCTATCTAAAATTTGAAATCAAGACCTTCATCAAAGACAGCCGAACAAAATTCTTTGCAGACAAATATCTCATCAAGAATGGGAAGAATAATTTAAAAATAAGGCAAATTTCATAAATGGACATTAACTTCTTGCAGACAAACAAAAAAAAATGGCAGACCTATCTTGTTCAGCCTTTCAGAAAACACCGAAAGGCGCTCATGACTTGGAGGTAGCTTGTACAATTCTGTATTAGAATTTCTGACTTGTATACAGTTCTTAAGTGGGATATTCCATGAAGGTTTAGATTCATCATCCACATCACAGACATCTATAACCTTTTGTTTTGCATTTTTTAAAAGACAGGAGGGCTGACTATTTTCTTTAATCCATATTGCAGTTTGAACTTTACGAGCAATGAGTCTCCAGCACATTGCTGTTGTTAAGTTCACCAACTTATCCCAAATGACAGGAAAATCTTTATCTTTTCTGTAAGCTGGTGGTGCTGAATAAACAAAATAACCATTCGGGCGAAGAAGGCGATCCAACTCCTTTATCAAAATCCCATCTGAGTATAACAAAAGAAATTAGTAACAAACAATAAAGCATATCCAACTAGATAAATCCGCCAACAACAGTAGCTTTGACATATATAGATTGCAGCAATTCTACCAGCTATCCAGATTGAGCCTATAATAGAAATAGTAAATGAGTCCGATTGGATCTTCACCCATCATCAGTCTTCATAGCAGCTTTTTGAATCTATTCTACCAGGTCATTCGATAAAAACAAAAATGAGAATGATGATGATGATAACTATGAGGAAAAAGAAAACCTCTAAGCTATACAATTTAAACTACAATAAGATGAAATACTTCAACAAAGTTTGATAAGATAAAATGGTTCAAAACATAATAATTCTACTCCTTCAGCTCAATACAAAACAAAAATTAATTTCATAGTACACTGCATGATTTGGTAAGTTTAGGGAGTTAGTTTAATGAGTTTAAACACAAGTTTTCATAAAATTACCAGCTTTTTCGAAAGTATCATATATCAAAAATATACTTCTCAAACAAGGAACAATAACAGAAAATAGTATTTTGCACAAACCAGAGTAAACAGGTGCTAAAATGCTACTCATCCGTCATCAACTAAATGAATGCTATAATGCAGAATGGTGGCCTAAAGAAATCAATTACTCCCTCTGGTCCTATTTATTAGAAAAAATTTGCTTTTAAGATTCATTGAACACGCAATGTATCTGGACAAAATATAGACCAGATACATTAGTTATTGAATGAATTTGAAAAGCAATATTTTTCTTATAAATAGGACCAAAGGTAGTAAGATCAAGATATAGTGAAGAACATATTTCAAACATGATTTTGGAAGTCAAGAGAGACTTCTAACATGTAGCAATGCATTGGTTGGCTTGAGATCGATGTAACTAGAAATTATTACTATGGTAAAACCGGAACTAATTAAATGAATTAAGAGCAAATCATTGATACATAAATTGAAAGAAGTCCAACATTTTGGTCCCAGAAAATATCACAGTTTGAAATCACAAAATTACCCATGTATACTATCCTAGGACTGAATCATACACAAGTTACATTCATCTGTTAGGATAGAGATAAAGTGGAGTTCTATCAAAATAAAAACAAGATGAACAGTAGTTAGAATTGGTCAGTAGTTGGTAATTAGAGAGGACGATAATGTATAAATAGGAGAAAAACGGTTAGAAAATAGAATTTTGTGCATTTGATATTGCGAGTGAAAAAGAGAGATATTTTTGTGAAGGAGAACCAATGGGGAGAATTACATTCTCCATTTTCTTTCAGTATTGCAATAACAAGATTCTTTATTTTGATTCAATTTTTCTTAGATCCCACAAATCGGTCCAATCAGAAGGAACTCTCATCGGTAAAGAAGTGGACAGTTATAGGGTGTTTTTAAAGTAAAATAGCATTCATTTCAAGGATGGCATTATCAAGCTTAAGATGCTGAACCAGGCGTTGAAGAAGCAGACTATACTTTGCAACCAAACACAAGTAAACAATAGTTCCTCTCAGTTTCTCTCCACTCAATTTCCCTCGTCTCTTTTTCTATTTAAACAAACAAACAAACACTAAATATAAAGTCTGCCAATAGCTAATATATACAAACATCATAAGGACATCTAATTACCATTTTCATGAAAGTCTATACGGCATCTTGAACAGTGAATCATTTCAAATGACCCTGTAGGAAATGGTAATTGTTTTGTGGACATGGCAGAAATCATTGCACCAATTCCTCGCTCTAATGCAAATTGAATCTGATTTTCGTGACCATCCTTGGGGGCAAAGGACATAGTTCGTATATCCAAAGCAAGAAGATAAGCTGAAAAACTGGCCACGCCACAGCCAAGATCCAGAACTTGAACTATGCCCGCAGAACGTAGATCGCCAGTCTCATTTGTAATCATATGTCCTAACCTGCATTTGTAAAGCTATCAAAAGACTAACAATTGTATCTTGCATTACTCACACAGTATACAGGCATTTCATGCTCAAGTTAGTTCATAGCACCAAGCAAAAACAATTACAAGGTAGGTAGAAATTCATTTTACTTAAAAACTTTCAAGTAAATTTGAAACTGATATTGACTATTGATGTAAGATGTTATTATCAAGATTGGCTTCTCCTCTCCCTCTCCCATGTGTGTGTCTTAGCTAAAAGTATCAGTTAGATCACTGCATCTGGTTCTAGCCTGTTTCATTAACACCAACGAACTATAGATTGCAACAAAGCTATGGCCTGCAAATAGGTAGCAATCTACATACAATGAACTATTTTTTTGCTATGATTTTCATATTGAAGTCCAAAGTTCAATAGTTAGCCTAAGAGAATAAGGACTCATTCCAAAGTCCCAACCACAATTTTTCTTTGATTAAGTTGACTCCTGATGCACCATTTTCAAAATGAACACATCCTTGTGGTTCCACTGTCTCCCAGGATTTCAATCTACTGTGCGCATAAAGTCCAATAGTAAGCCTGGGAGCATAAAGACTCATTCCAAAGTCGCAACCACAACTTTTCTTTGATTAAGTTGACTTTTGATGCATCATTTTCAAAACGAACACATCCTCGTGGTTCCACTGGCTCCGAGAGTTTCAGTCTATTGTGCGCATAACTTCCAATTAATTCAATATGATTAGCGTAAAAAGTATTAGAGAATATAGATAAAAGTTGATGTAATTGTATTCTTCAGCATTACCTGGTATTTATAGGAATATGACAACCTAATTATTTCCTTAAATTAAGGAGAATAGTAACAATAGAAAATAAACAAATATTCAGAAATAAATAGCAAATATGAAAAATTTTCCAACACTCTGCCTCAAGTTGGTGCATAGATATCTATCATGCCCAACTTGTTGACTAGATATTCAAAAAAGATAGGTCTAGCCAAACTCTTGGTAAGAATATCAGCATTCTATTGACTAGAAGTTACAAAAGGCATATAGTCTCATCATCTATTTTCTCCTTTATGAAGTGTTGCTCAATCTCAATGTGCTTGGTTCTATTATGTTGGACTGGACCATGGGCTATGCTAATCTCGATAACATAATATTGTCATCATTATTCAAAGAAAAAAGACTTAAATGAGAACTTATTTGTTTAGTAGGTAGTTGTGATTCAGAACCAAGATTAAAGTAGTAGAGTCCTCCACTAACCTTAGCATTGTCAATCATTTGCCACAAGTACAAATGCTTAAAAAACACAATGAATACGGAAGAAATTAGTTTGACAATTTTTTCTAGGACTAATTTACTATCAGACATTAGACTACAAGTTAAATTTAAAACATGGAGAACATCTTTGAGAGTTGGACTTAGCGACAATACAAATAAACCTTTACCTACAATGGCTGAAACAGAGTCGTATGTGACTTTTATTTTTTAATTACTTGCATAGGGGTTATAGGAAGAGAATAATGTAGATTCACATGTTATACGATTAGTTGCACCTGAATCTATTACCCAACAGTGGTTTGGAGTGACACTACGAAAGATACCTTTTGTACTATAGAGCAAGAAGGCGTTGATGACGGAAGGAGCTTGCCAGTTTGTCTATCTATTTCAAAGTGGTTGAAAGTTGAATTGAGGACGACTCCTCCCCTTGATTAGAATTACTAGCTTGGAGCGAACGACTGTCATTACCACACTTCTTCTTCCAATTCGGAGACTTTCCATTGACTTTTCAGCATGTCTCCCTTGTGTATCTATTCCAAAGTGGTTGAAAGTTGAATTGAGGTGACTCCTTCCCTTGATAAGAATTACTAGCTTGGAGCGCACGACTCTTACTACCACCTTTCTTCTTCCAATTCAGAGGCTCCCCATTGACTTTCCAGCATGTTTCCATTGACTTTCCAGCATGTCTCCCTTGTGTATCATGCACAATTGCAATGGTCACACCGAGGCTTGTTACTGTGCCCGTTTCTAAGACTTCCTCCGCGCGATGGTAGGGGAGGTTTCATCATTAATGGCCAAATCTGCAAGGGCTTGCTTCCATTGACTTTGGTTGTCGAACATGAAGGTTGTGTGGCGGCTAGAGTGCTTACTTTTAAACTTTAGATTGAAAACCTAGAGCTACTGATACTATATTAAGGTGTGCTTGTTTTAAGTATTGAAATTACATTCTCGAGAAAGTGACACTGAAAATGCAAGAATCCCTATTTGTTTCAAGTTTTTTAAAATTGTCCCTCGGATATTTTTAATTCCCAGGAATGTTGTTTACCCATGGTTTTCTCAATGTTATTCTAATGCTTAAAGGATGGAAATCCAATATTCTCATGGGAATAAAATTTCAACTAACTTAACTTACCACTACTACTCACATTTGTTTTTTTTATTAATTTTTAAATTAAATAAATTTTGTAAACATTCTCAGGAAATTTAATTTTTGGTCAAACACGTGAATAGGAATATCATTTCTGAAAATAATAATCATGCGAATATGAGATTCTAAAGAATGTTATTTCATAACTTGAAACCAACACGCCCTTACAGAAAATAGGTAAAGCTATTGTAATTGTATTCTTCAACATTAGTGGGTATTTATAGGAATATTTCAACTGAATTAAGCAAATAATCTAAATATAGAAAATATTCCAACACAAAGGTTATTTGGTTTTCCAAATGATTAACTAAAGCATAATTTATAATTGCAAAAGCAGAAAATATAAACTCAAGAAATAGATGCACAAATTAACTTGAATGTTAGCAAATTGAAATAGATCATCAGTTCACAGGCCATAGCCATACTCAATCTGATTTCAGAATATTTGTCTCACATGAATTCATATTGGAAGAAAAATGAAGTCGTCATAATAGTGGCCAATCATCGGAAGAAGTTGATAGAATCATTGGAAAACTATTTCTACAATTATTGAGCATGACCCTCATATGAAATAAAAACAAACAAAAGAAGAGACATAAATGAATGAAGAGCAGATACCTCTCTATGTACTCGGATGCTCCATTCTTGAAATGCGTACCACCACCAGGAAACCACCATAGCTGATCCTTTGGATGGACCCAATTTTGGCCTCCTTTGACCTCAGCAAGATGTGTATGATTGACATTACTACGCCAAACATAATCCCTGCTAAGAGGCCATTTGATAGGTATTTTATAATTCTTGGGTGGTGGAACCAAGCAAAATAAGCGGTTTTCAAGTGGAGGACAGTGTCTCTCCAAGTCTTGTTTTCTTGAAACATCAAGATTAGGCATCAATGTTGTGACATAGGAAACATCGTGGCAGGGAATATACTCATTAAACCTCAAGGGGCATACAGTAACCCCAGTGTGAGGAATTAGCAAGGGAGTTTTGCGGTAAGTGAGAGCAAGTTTGTTAGTAAATCTGAAAGTTCCTACAAGATATAGAAATATTTGTGTATGAGTGACAAAGCAGAAATCTGAAATTGCAAGGTTTAACAAAAAAAAATCAAAACATGCCACTGACTAGTGACAGTGGCACCTCCGAAAGAAGTGTAATTAAGAACTATATACAACTCAACCCAGCAAGGTATACTGATGGCATAAAAGAGTTGTTACCCATGATTTGAAAGGAATCTACACTAGTTGGATGGAACAGAATTGAAATCATTATACATAGATGACATTACAATTCAACATGAATCAAATAAGCAATATATAAAAAATAAAAAAATAAAAAAAGTGAGATTGTAGAGAAGCATATTTAAATGAAAAATATATGAAATTGAAAAGTGAGGTTTGAAGTTGTTACCATTAGAAGAGAAAGTGTTGGATGAAGATGGGAGGTTTGAGATGTAAAGGGGAGCATTGTTGCCAAAAAGGGTTCCGGCGTAAAAGGAAACAATCATCAAAAGTAAAGCAGCCATTATGATTTGGCCAGATTTAGAATCAAAGGCGGAACCAATAGCAAAACCTCCTCCCATACTTATTATTTCTTCACTGCTTCAACTGCATGGGTGATGAATGAGAGTGAAACAGAAGGACAGCTTCGAACTGTGCAAATAGGTCTTTCAGATCGCTGAAATCTACCTTCCTTTTTTTATTCATGTTTTTTTATTATTTTTCTGAAATTAAACCTTCCATAATGTCAACTAATGTGAAGGTCGGTCACGCAAATTTGTTTATATTTAAATTTAAAATTTAAAAGAAAAAAATTAATAAAAATTACCAAATATAAAAAATATAATTTATATTATAAAAAATAATCAATATTAAAAATAATTTTAAATATATACAATCATTTAATATTATAAATATATAATATTTAAAAATATTATTTTAATTATATAAATAAATATTAGTAACAAAAATAAATAAATTTTGCTTGTATTCAGATCTATATATTATTTAAATTATTTAATTAAAAAAATTTATTATTTTTAAATTTTACCATATCAATATTCGTGTGTTCGCCCGAATATTGGTATGATATACATACTTTTGTTTTTAAAATGTAATTAAAATATAAATAAAAAAACGAAATTGTTTTGCAAAAATAATTTATTATTTTTAAAAGAAAGACATATTTTTAAAATAAAAACAAAATTGTTTTACATCAATAATATATTTAAATTTTTCATTATAAAAATTGTATTTTATATTAAAAATAATTTCAAATATATGCAATCATTTAGTTTTATAAATATCAACTAATAACATAGTATTTGAAAATATTATTTTAATTATATAAATAAATATTAGTAACAAAAATAAATAAATTTTTTCCGTGTTCGGATCCATACATTATTTAAATTATTTAACCAATAAAGTTTATTATTTTTAAATTTTACCATATCAGTACTCGTGTGTTCCTCCAAGTATGGGTACACACGTTTTTGTTTTTAAATGTAATAAAAATGTAAATAAAAAAAACAAAATTTTTTACTAAAATAGTGACTTTCTTTAAAATTAATTATATTTATAAAGATCGTTTTCTTATAAAAAGAAATATTTATAAATATTTTTTTAATTGTAAATAAATAATAATAATAATAATAATAATAATAATAATAATAATAATAATTAATTGGTGTTTGTTTTATAAAAGTATATTTTTCTTATATATTATTTTAGAAGTTCTCATTTATAAAAGTATTTTTTTTATATGTATAAAATAAAATTCAATATAAAGTATTTAAATTTTTTCGTGTATAAAATATTTGTCGGGTATACTTTATTATATTATCAATCACTTTATTTTTAAGTTTCAGTAATTCACTTATTTTTTGTAGATATATATTTTTACTTATTACAAATATCTCTTTCATAGGAATATCAACATAAAAATTATAATTAAATAACAAAATTATAAATAAATAACAATTTTTGAAATTTTAAATATAAATATTTGACTTATTTTTAGAGTAAAATATTAAATTTATCAATATTTTTCATAACTATTTAATACATAATAAAATATATTTACTTATAGTTATGCAATGGACAATAAATTATGGTGACATTAAAAATGTTAAAACAATAATTTAAATTTTTTTATATATTAATTAGTATGACATTAAAACTTTCTATAATATTAAAACTTTCTTCTATATTAATTGCTATTTAAAAGTGAGAATTTTGAAAACTGTTTATAAAAATTATTTGTCATAATAACAGTTAATAGTAAATATGAAATATATATTATAAATGGGTAATGTTAACTTATGTCCTAAAGGATCAAGTTAAAAAACCTATAAATAGAAAATTCTTATAGAAAAACAATAAATTTATTAATTATAAATTTGTATTAAATTAAGAACACAATTTTCATGATTTTTTTTTATATTTATATGTTAACTTGTGCCCAAGAGTACAAGTTAGTATTACCCATTATATATATAAGTGAGGAGTCACTTACTCCAAGAATAAGTTTTTATAATTTATTCTAAAATTATAACCTTTAAATTAAATTTAGTTGAATGGTTATAAGTAAAAATTCTAATTTAACCACTAAATTATATTTAATTTAACTTAAAAAAACTTACTCTTAAAGTAAGTTGATCTCCACTATATATATATATATATATATATATATATATATATATATATATATATATATATATATATATATATATATATATATATATATATATATATATATATATATATATATATATATATATATATATATATATATATATATATATATATATATATATATATATATATATATATATATATATATATATATATATATATATATATATATATATATATATATATATATATATATATATATATATATATATATATATATATATATATATATATATATATATATATGGGGCATATCAAGTAAGAGAAATTTTAAAATGAGAGATGAGAATAACAAACAACAACTATTAGATCATGATTAAATTTATTCATTAATGTTACTATTAATTTCTCTCTCTTATTAATTTGAATTTCATCTTTTATATATATATATATATATATATAATTTCCTAAAAAATAGAAATTGGACTAAAACTTAAACCTGAAAAGCTTTATTGTAGGATTTCAACTAAATAGTTAAGATTAAGTGATTTTTAAATTGGAAACAAACTATAGGCATAACTGTAAATAAATAACATCTTTATCTTTACCATGGAAATATAATATTCTTGGTAAAGGCTACTCTATTTCTTAAACATCATAAAGTAAAGAAAAATAATATCATCATTTCAGTATACATGAGAAATATCATCATTTTAGTCTATAAAGACTACTTGTAGTTAATGTATACTGATATAAAAAAAGTCACAACATAATTCATGGGATATAAACTAATTTCCCAAAACCTTTTTTAATAATTATTAGTTATTAATATAACACAGAATATTAATTTTTGCTAAAATATTTCAATTATTTTAAAATTAATTTTTGATATTAAATTATACCGTATATTTTTAGAAGTAATGCATACGAATGAAAAAATTATAATTTTTAATACTAAATTATTATCTAAAAATAATTAATATAAAAAAGTTAATAAGATAATTTAATACAAAAATTAATCTAAATACAAATTGATAATAATAAATACAAAAAATGAAAAATAAATATCATCCATAAATATATGGATTCTAAATAATAATAACAGAACCTAAGTATAAATAATAGGCAAAATACCATTTTTGTTTCTTAACTATATCCTTAGATTCATATGGGTTCCTTAATTATTTTTTATGTGGTCTCTTAACTCTTTCAAATGTATCATGTTAGTCTTTTTTATCTAATTAGCGATTAAAAAATTCAAATTTTGATCGCTAAATTCGTCGCTAATTAGATAAAAATGACCAAGATAACACATTTTAATAAAGAGTTACAGGATCAATCTGACACAAAAAATAATTAAGCGATCAATCTGAACTCACGGATATAATTAAGGAGTCAGAAAGGGTATTTTTCTTAAATAATAATAGTATGTTGTAAAATAAAAACAATATTAAAGAATGAAAATAACATATATTTTTATCTGACTTATTTATTATTTATTATTTATTTTCAATTTTTGTAAGACATAAAAAATTAAATGAAGAACATCTTTTCTACTATTTGTCTTATAGTATCACTATGATATTTTTCTACATTTTATGATTATTATTTGTCATGAGTTAAGAAAGAAAAAAATAAATATTATAATTATATTTTTAGTCTCATCAACCATAAATCAATCATAAGTATAAGACATGATTCAAAACTAACTACCACATATTGAGAAAAATGAGTTTGTAGCATATTGCATACCAGATATAAAAATCAACATAATTCAGTTGCAACCGTATTCTATTTTAAGTGAAAAAATGATAATTAAGAGATCAAATACCCTCAAATACGACCCATGTCATAAAATAAGAAAGTTATAATTATAAATTAATTAGTATCATAATCATTTATTATTTTCATAAATATATATATTTAAAATAATTTATTTTCTTAATTGTATTGATAAATATAACTTAAATGTCATTTAAAATATGATTTCTTTAATTACAAATTTGTACATATTTAATACTCTTGAGATAATTTAAAACATATTTATTAGGCTAAAATAGAGTTTTGGTCCCTGTTTTGCCTCTGTTTATTTTTTAAACAGTTTTGGTTTCCCTAGCTCACTTATCACCAAAAACACGTTGATGTGAATTTTTTTAAATACGTAGTTGATCAATGCTTACACGTGGATTTAATTTCACGCATGTCATTATTTAATTAAAAAAAACAAATTTTAAAAAAATGATATTTTTTAAATGTCTATTTAAAAAAGAAATTTAGGTGGTTATTCATCATCATTGTCAGCTTCGTTATATCAGTTCAGCATGGTTTCATCTCGTCTTCGTGTTCATAATCTTTGCCCTAATTTGTGTCTGGTGTAATGGGTTCTAAGTCTGTGGAAATTTCAAGTTCTTCATCTCATTTTAGGAGGAGAAGGATCAAATGCTATCATGGGTTGGATTCTCCATTTGCTACTGCGTGGACATCTGAGAATCCATGTAGGAGGTTCTATGGTTGTGGGTTATTAAAGGTGTGTATAAAACCCTAATTTTTAGTTAATTCATCTTCTGGACATTTTTTGGTAATTGTAGTCCTAATTTCTCATCTGTTTCATTCAGTTACAAGGGAGTAAAGGTTATTCTTTTTTTATTGGTACGATGACAAGATTCCGGAACGGTCAAAGGAAGTGATTAACTCGCTTTTGAAGAAGGTTAATGAGTTAAAGAAGAAAGATAGTTATAGTTCAATAAAGAAGAGTGATGATGACATGAAGAAGAAGAACAAGTTGTTGATTATGTTGTTGATTATATCTTGGTTTTTTATCATCATATTGATCGCAAAAGGATTTGTTTAAGTTTAGATGTCATTGTTGTAAGGTTGAGGTTAATCTTGTAAGGTTATTGTAGTAAGGTTTGAGTTCAATTGGTGTTACTTTGATGTTCTTTTGCAAGGTGTTACTTATGTTCTTAATGTAACAATGTTATCGACGCCGTTAATGTGACAATGTAACATATGTTGTTAATGTAATAATATTTTGATAATGTTGTGATACAATTCTTATGTCACTTTGGTTATGTCCATTCATAATTCACTGATAACATAATGCAATCCATAATTATTCTGCTTTGATAGAATGTTTTGATAACATAATACATTCCATAATTTTTCTGTTGTGATACAATATTTTGACAATGTTGTCAATATTACATATGTTATTCATAATTCTTCTGTCACAATAATACTTTGAGATAATAAGACTTGTTACATGTAACACCCTTTTCTACCCCACGAATATTATGGCAAAATAATCGAATTTATCATAGTAAAATATTGAAACGCAATAAAATCACCTCAAATGACGTACATTTCTCAATAAATTCAAATCAAGGTAAATGCTCTGTAAGCAACGGATTTTCTCAAAATTACTCAAAAGTGCTCAAATGGCAGCGGAACTCAAAAAGGCAAATCCAAAGTTTTTCTTTCACCGCAAGGAAATTAACATAACAAAAACTCAACAAAATATAGTTTGACTCAAAAGACCCCAACTCGATGTTACACTATCAGAGCAAGACCCTCTAAGTCAACCACAATGGCTAACGACCCAACACTTCAAACCCTCTAAGTCAACCACAATGGCTAACGACCTAACACTTCAAAAAGTCCTCGACGGCATCCACGACTAAACTTGGTCATCTGCACGTTACCCACGTGGAGACAACATTCAAACAAGCAAGGTGAGTAAAACAATTCATAATAATCAATATAGGAATCAATATATATATATATATATATATATATATATATATATATATATATATATATATATATATATATATATATATATATATATATATATATATATATATATATATATATATATATATATATATATATATATATATATATATATATATATATATATATATATATATATATATATATATATATATATATATATATATATATATATATATATATATATATATATATATATATATATATATATATATATATATATATATATATATATATATATATATATATATATATATATATATATATATATATATATATATATATATATATATATATATATATATATATATATATATATATAACAACGTCATTTTCATATTCAACATCATCATAATCATCAAGGAACATCAAAGGTCACAACATTATAAATTACACCAAATTGTCACATAAATGCAAATGCAACAAGACTCATGCATGTGGTACCAATCAACAAAACTTGATGAACATTGGACCATCAACCCTCCATAGATCCACAACAGTAGGATCGATTCTACACGAGAACTGGAGCACAACAAAATACCTCACATCCGCACAATGGGACTGAAGCCACGAGAATCAAGGTCCTGAACCGAAGTCTGAATGCATATGAATGCATGATGCAAACGTCAATATCTTCCTCATAATAACCTCATTAGGTGCATCATCATTCATCAAAATCATCATAATAATCATGTCATCATATAATCCTCAAAACTCATGGAAATCAACATCATAAATCATCACAATTATTCATGGGAATTCATCATACAATCATGTATTAATCTCATAAAAATCACAGTCATACTCATGGTAATTCATCAAGAAAATTACATAATCAAAGTATCAAAATAACACTGCACAAGCATACACACAAGTATTCGATAAATTATCCACCAATAATTTCACAACCGGCAATAAACAGTGCAACAATTCATTAATAGAACATATACATAATTGACTTCCCAAACATATTAGATATAAAAATATTGGACAAAAAATTATCTTATCTATACTATGTTATAGCCATGTCCTTTAGCTTTCCAGCACTTCGAACGGGGACCAAAACGGACTTACGAATTAAAAGTTACGTCCAAAACAATTTTGACCGAAAACATGAACAATCGTGACGGATATCATGCATAATTTTCTGCATTTTTCACCGTTGGAGGCATTCCGGACTTCCGATTTTGATTCCGTAAAAACTCTCAGAAAATTAAAAGTCATCTAATACTATAATTATCTCAAGTGAATCTACAATTTTAACACAATTAAACCATCTAATCATCGTTTTAAGATTATGCCTAAAACATTTAAAATTAATGGATATAGGTTCAATCTCGTATCATATTTACGCCTCCAATTCCCATAATATCTTACAAATACTCCACAGTCATTAAAGTTCTTACAATCAACCAGAAATTCCCATAAAATCCTTACAATTTTCTCACATTCATTAGAGTTCTCATAATCAATTACCCTATACGGTTAAAACCTCAACAACATATTTTGGCCACGAAGGCCTAATTTCCTCAAACTCAAAAACCTCCTAAACTCTTAAATCAACTTTAAATACATTGAATCATATATTGAAAAAATGAAGGCAATACTCCTCATACCTTAATTGCCGACTCTAAGCCTTTCTCTTTGATTCTTGGAAACCTTAAGAAGCTTTTGTCCCAATCCTCTTCCTCAGAGCTTTGGCATATATTTCTTCCCTTTTCACGGTCTAACAGAAATGAATCATAATTCCCTCAAAATTTCTTTTTGTTAAACCTAACTTTGGGCCTTAAAATTCGGCTCTCCAACTTCACCCGTACTAACTCCTCCTCAAATGTTCATTTTGCCCTTAATTCACTTATATTTATTTAAATTAATAATAATACCAATATATTCATATTATATATTATTATTTAAATAAATAACCGAAAATCCATAATTCTCAATACTTCATACCAACCACCGCAAATCACCAAAAATACGAATATCCATATTTAAATAAATTAAATAAATATTCTAATAAATTTGGGGTGTTACATTACACATTAAAGTAATCATCCAAAAAGGTATTCACCTTTAATAAGACTTGTAGTTCTGTTATATTATCACCTTAAAAGATATTCATCCAAAAAGTTATAACATCTTACATTAAAGGTTACACATTAAAGTTGTAAACCTCTTCAAAAAAGTGATAGAATTTTACATATCTTACATTAAAGGTTATTGTCGCTTCCGCGAAAATAAGGTGCCGGCAAAACAGAAGAGTCGCCACCTTTCGTTATTTATCCCTCAGAGCGGGAAAGGAAACGATCGGAAAAACCTGACGAAAAGGTATAAGACAAGGTCGTCGCAACCATTGTCTAGGTTCGGGAGTCGGTTACGCAAGGGGAAGGTATTAGCACCCCTCACGTCCATCGTACTCGATGGGATCCACGCTTGCTGGTTTGTCTAAGGGTGAAAAACAATCTATCTACGGCTGCTAAAGCTAAACGGAAAGAAACTGACTCGATAGAGCATCGCACTCTATGCCTACATATTCCCATCAGAGAATGAGAAATCAGAGTCAACGTAGTTCAGGAAACTACGGGGGATTTTGCTCGCCGAGATATCGCATTTCGTGCCTACGTACTTCCACACGGCGTGAAAGATTAGAGCTTACGTAGTTCGGGCTAACTACGGCTAGACAGGGTGTTCTCGGTCACACGGGGGTGAGAGAATGGATTGACGATACTAGCATACGCATTCTAGCAGTTAGGTGTATGCTGCTCGCTCGACGGAGACTTAGGCGTTACCTGTTTGCGGTAGAACGGACGTAGTATGTCGGGTTTGAAAGGTATGGGAACCTATGGGGTCTAGAACTACAGTCTGGTCTCGATTGCACTCGGGCAAGAGAAAGGGAACATTAGTCGTCAGCGGGAAAGTCTCGATCGCACGGCAGCGAGAGAACAGAGAAGTTAGTTGTTAGTGTGCTCGCTAGGATATCGCATCCTATGCCTACATATTCTCGTCTGGTACGAGAAATCAGAGCAGTTGTAGTTCAACCAACTACAGCAAAACGGGAAAGGGGAAAAAGGTAGCTCGCTAGGATATCGCATCTTATGCCTGCGTACTCTCGTCTGGTACGAGAGATCAGAGCAAACGTAGTTCGGCGAGAAAACGAGTCTCAATTGCACAGGGGCAAGATAAGGGGTCTCAATCGCACTGCAGCGAGAGAAAAGGGTTTCGATCGCACGGGGGCGAGAACAAAGAAGAAGCAGGCTTACACCTAAACGGGAAGGAACTCGGGACACACACGCACGAACCTAATACGTAGGAGCGAATGCGTCATATATTACCCAAGGGACATATACTAAACACCCTAAACGATCGAGGGGAGACCGCTCGATTGTCATTTCTTACGTATCTAACGCTACAACTCACAACACTCGACGGTTGCTCGAACACTTGAAAAGATGATGTTGAACGAAGCAACTCCGTTGGCTCCTGACATGTGCGCAAGCTCCATTCCAATCTTCTCCTCTCTGGATCCTTGATGAGAACGCTCGAACCAGGACCAATGTAAGGCTTAGACTGTCATGGTTCGACTTATACGAGAAATTGAACTCTCTGAGGTAGCGTATTGACGTCTGTGTCAAAGACAAGATAGAGAGATGATATCGACAATCATTCTCCAATTGAATCATGCCACACGGCCAGCCAAAAATAAAATTGGAGATAAAATCGGATAGAAAATGAAAATAGGAGAGAAATCCAACACTAAATGGAAATAAAATGTTACTCCTAAAATACGGCAATTAAATTCTACTAGCTAATATTCTAAAGAAATTAAAAGAAAATGCATATGAAAATAGCATAAAAACAATTCTATCTAAATCCATAATATCCTAAAGAAAATAGAATAGAAATTCTATATCAAAATCTATATAATATAATATGCTAAAAATAATAGAATATAAATCCTATATTAAAGATCTATGGCAATATTCTAACTATGAAAATAATCTCCTAAAAGAAAATAGGAAAATAAAGCTAAACTATTACAAGCATATGTCCAATACAAGAGAGAAATTAAATTGCAAGGGAGGGGGGTACAATCTAAAAAACTGGTGTAAGTGCAGTAAAAACACTCTGGGCCCAGACCACAATACATTTAAAATAACACACAAAAAACTAAGGGCCAGGGGGGTGCGTTCAGGTAAACAGGATGCAGGCAGAAAAACGTTGGGCCCAGCCCATCACCACTTCATCAGCAACAAAGAAAGAAAAAAAACGGGGACGGGGGTGTGAATAGGAAACATGGGAGTATGATCCAAAAATTTCGTTGGGCTTGAGGCCCAATTCCCACCCACGAGCCTTCCCTCGCTTCTCCCCAAACCTTGGTCTGAAACCCTGACCTCTTCTCTTTCCTCTCACTCACCCTCCGATGCGCCGTCGTACTCCTATCTCTCAATCTCACACTTCTTTTCCAGCAAACCTCCATTGTCGTTTGCTCACTGCTCTTTCATCTTCATCCATCCAAGAACAAGACTCCTGCGAACGCGTGGTTGTTGCGTGAATCATGAAGAAGGCGGTGGTTGATGGAGAAATCTGGAATTTCTTGATGAGATCTTCTGATGAACAGACTGAACGGAGATGATGATGCTCATGCTAGATTATTTGATTTCTGGAGACCTCGTTCTTGATCCAAATCTGGCGAGGTTTGTTCTTGATCAAAATCTACGAAGATCTAGATGAAGACGAACAGATGAATGTTCTTGAAGGATTCTGGGCAAAAATCAGTAGAAACGAGCTGAAGATCTTGAGGATATTGTTGATGGATCTGATTTCATGGAGGATCTTGAGACGCGTTGAAGATCTGGAATGAAGAGTTTGATGGACACCTAACGACAATCTGATGAACGATTGGAGGCGATGAAGATCGGAAATTGTTGGTGGTTTCTGGACAAATCTGGGAGGCGACGGATGAAAGATCTTGATGCAGATCTTGAGGGATCTGGAAAATAATTGGATGAAGGTGATGATCATGAGGAAGATCTTGATAATTTGGTGGAGAGGATGAAGATTCACGGTGGTTGAAGTTTTCCGGTGGCAGTTACCGGCGAGATTTGATGAACATGAGGTGAAGATCCTGATGATTGCTGGGAAAAATGTAGAACACATGAGTTTTCCGGTGGTCTCATGCGTTTTCCGGCGACGCCTTGGCCGTGTGAACCACCGTCTAATTTCCCCGGTGGATGGAAACTGTTGTTTGCACGCGAGGGATGTGGGAGCGACACCTCAGGGGGGTTGCGTGGCAGGCAGAGACGGAGAGAGAGAGAGAGAGAGGTAAGGACGCGTGGCGTCCATGCAGTGATGTGAGGTGTCCCGTGAGGTGGAAGAGAGAGAGACTGAAACGTGGGATTATTTATATGTTGCCAAGTGGCACTGCATTGGCCAGACTGGGCCCCCAAAATAGACACATGGTGTCGCGGTGAAATTTGGATACCAAACTATTGATTAGTTTGAATCTTTAATTCAATTTGCAACCGAACTTTGATTTGTCCAAAGGTAGGGATAAAGATCGAAATTCCCACAATGCAATGCAAATGCAAGGTAAAGAGAGTTATAGGTTCGGGGGTTGGTTAAACTTAGGAAAGGTGCTAGCATCCTAAGTTTCTGTAGTATCCTACAGGAACCTCTTGTTTTATATTGTTTATTGCTATGGTTTATCTGCTTAATGATTGAAAGACCTAGGGGTTTATTTCTAAGTATACTCGATAAGATGTCGCATCTTATGTCTACATATCCTTACGGGAGTGGAATTAGAGTATTTGTAGTTCCCCTAAAGGGTTGAGGAGTTCTTTGACTGTGGTCAAAGTTCCTACGGGTTTAGGGTAGTTGATTGATTGATTTTAGGAGAAGAGATGTGTCTTCATTTTAAAGGAGATTTAACCGCCACAAGATGTAGGAAAATAGTCTTTGCATCGTCTTAAGAAAAGGGCTTAAGTACTCGGATTGTTTGACGAGTATGCCTTTATCTCTCTTAAGGCAAAGTCCCTACGGCTTGATTGTATTGTGGTGGGGGTGGAGATTCTATCTCACTTAAGATGATTGACATCTTTATCTAATGTGTTTGAAAGTATTGTTTTGAATTGTTGAATGTTTGTTCTAAGTTGTAAAGATAAAGGTCCTCCTATGTTGTAAAATAAAGAACAGTCCTTCCTATGGGGTAGGATCTATCGTAGGAGATCGACTTGAATGGGATCAAGGATCATATGGGGAGAATGATGCAAATGATGTGCACTACACACGATTGTTGAATCGTGTGTAGGTTTTTCCTTTGGACGAATGCAATTGCGAGAATGATAAATTGCGATAATATGAATTGCTTGTAAGATAAATTGCAGAAAAAGTAAAACACACACATACGCATGAAAGCGCTGAAGTGTGTGAGAGTGAAAGTGTCGTGGATGTGAATGTGCACGATTGATTGTTGATTCGATTTTATTTTAGTCGAGTTGATTTTAGATCAAGATTGATTTTAAGAGGTTAGGTTATAAGAAAAAATGTTGATTGAGTTTTGATGAGGGTTGAATTGGTTTGATGAGATTGATTTTTAAGAGAAAAATATATTATGACTGAATTAGTTTTATTAGTTTTAATAGAAGAAGTTTTATGAGAAATTATATTAGACTTTATTAGTGAAATTATCGGATTATAAATGGATTGGATTATGGGTAGAATGATTAAAATTAAGTAATTACTAACCTATCAAATAATATGAGTTGATAAAAAAATTATGAAATGGGTCTTCTTATTAAATAAATAATTTTAAAAGGGGTGTTATTATTAAAATTCAAAAAAAATATTTTTGTGAATAATATCATTAAAAGATAAATAAATTGGTAAAGTGAATGGAATTATTATTAAATTGACACAAATAATTAGTAAAAAGAAGTTGATTTGATGAATAGATTAATTAGAAAAAGTTGATTAAAATAAATAGAAAGTCAATTAATTTAGAAACATGTTAATTTGAAAAAGAGTTTTAACAAATTAAATAAAAGGGAATTAATTTAAATAAGTTATAAAAGGGATTTAGTTTTTCTGAATTAAAATGGTTAAATAAATTATAGGTTAATAAAATGGGTTAGTGTTTTTTATTTTGCTGATTAACAGAAATGTTAATTATTAATTTAATTAAGTTGGAATTGGTTAGGGGTTTAAGCAGATTATTAACAGCCTAAATTAGAGGTTAGTGGGATTAATGAGGTGATTAATAAGTGATTATATGATTGTGTGTGTAGTGAGTGATTAGTGATTAGCTACAGCATTACATCAGATAAAACAAAATGACGTGAAAACCCTAAATCCCAAATTTCTCCCCCCTTTCGATCTGTCGCCTCGTCATCTCCCTCTCCTCTCGCTCGCTCTCTCTTCCCTTCTAGTTTGTCTTCTCCATTCTTTCCATCACCGCTCTACCCACTCTTCATCCTATTTCTGCGATCGAATCTGGAAAAAAAACAATAAAAGAATATCATCAAATCCAAAAAAACAAAACTCACGGCGTCACTGACCTATTCCTTTTTTGCGGAGATGTTGAAGGCGGTGATGGTTCGCGATGGAGGCTTGGATTGGATGGATGGTGGATCGTCGAGGGGTTTCCGACGATGAAGCTCAAAAAGGATAAGTTCCCTTGCTTTTTTCAATTTTTCTGGTTTTATGGTTTTTTTGGGTTTCTCGTGTTGAACTGTTTATGAATTTTTTGTGAATATTGTGGATTCTGTGAGTGTTGTTGTCTCTCTCCCCCCTTTTTTCACTGTTCTGTTTCTTTTCAATTTATAGGCGTATGCCGATTCAAATGATGATTGGAAAGAAGACAAAGATTTATTATGCTTTCCTTCTTGGTACGATATGTCTAATTTTGTAGACAAAGGTAAATTCCTTTCCATTCTTACAGAAACATGTCCGAGACACACTTTAAACCCCTTTCAATGTGTGTTTGCTCTCGTTTTAGAATGAACTTTATTCTACCTTGCTGGTTGTATCGGTATGAGCTTACGAGTTGACATGTTTCAATGCTCTTGCCAAAACAGGGATTGCCATCATGGCCGCTGCTACAATCCTGCGGGTGTGTGGCTTAGATACTTCCACGTCTCAATTTTCCTTCAGTTCTATTACAACGTGAAGACTCTTATTGTAGCTTCCAATGTCTCTTATTGCACTTTTGTTTTATGTTTGACAGATTATCGATCATTGCGAGAATATCGGACTTCCGAGATGCTTACTAATGATTTCTTTTCTTTTCGTGTGTGTGTGACAACTGATGAATGCGTGCAGGAAACAATTTTGACAGGCGGTTGTAATCACTCCAAGCGTATGATGTTAACTCACAGGAGCAGCTGGTAGGGCCCTTCCCTCTTTTCTAACTCATAATATAATAAGGGTGCGTGTTATGCCCCTACTAAGAAGAACCCTTAATTAAAATCTCCTTACAAAATTTTCTGAGCAATCATATTTTTGTACAAATGTACACAAGAGTAACATATGCTAACTTTGCAGATTTCCATGTGTCAATCTTCTTCCTTTTAGAATGCTGCTATCTTTAGTGGAGAGGAAAAATACAATATATACATGATGACGATGACGACAACGAGTTAATCTCTTGTACCACCAAGACTAGCACCACTTATTGCCTTTGTTGCATTTCGAACCAGGCGTACAAGCTCATCTACATCCTGGAAGCTGAAATCAATAACCCTCTTAATTGAAGTTATGCAGTCCCTATTCCGTGTTTCTTCCATCATCGCATTGGCCGCGGAGAAAGTGCTATGACATTTTGTAGCAGCCTCCATTGCAAAATTTATATCCTGAGTAAAATCGAGAAGCCTATCCAAACTTGGACGAGTTCGAACAGATATGACGTGGTTACCAGCAACATGAGCATTAGTAACCTTGGGCAAAGTAGCCTTATCCATTACCACTTGATTGTTTAAGTTATCAACATCAGATGCTGAAGATGAAGGAGATTCACCTTGAGAAACCACTTGAAGAGTTGATTGCAACTCACACCGATCTCGGTTTGTACTAGAATGTTTACAGTAAACCACTCTCATGTACACCACTTCCATGCATTTATATGCCAAAGCAGCTGCTGCCGTTTCTTGACGACTCTCGTATTCATGGGCACATGACTTGAAAAGTTTGGCTGCCGTGGCATAAATTTGCATTTGACTCATCTCTCCGTACTTGCTAGTCTCATTGTGAGAACTTTCTAACAGAGATCCTCCATGCAGAAACTTCAAACCAGCACCAAAGTAGACCATATTGCTTTCAAAATCAAATCCAAAATTCTTATAATGATCTGCGCTTTCTTTTAGTTTTGTAGCATCACAAGGGAATTGCATAGAATAAATGCAAGCGGCATTATGCAGTCATCATACGCCGTCACGGTAGTCATTGCGCCTCCCACCTTAGTTCTGTAGAGAAACATTGTGGAGTTCGCCAAAAACCGTGGCTACTTGCTTTTGATGGTGTTTAGCATGATGAAGTGGATTGGTCAAGGAGCTGCTCTCTGGGTTCAGTACTGGTAGAAGCGGTGGTGAGGTACGCGGTTACTCCATTTATAGGTGTTATGTTTCATTGATTTCTCTCGTAGCTTGGATAACCTTCTTTTGACATCGCTGTTGGTTTTGACAGGTCGTGTTTGAGTTACCCGAGTATGCAGTGTCCTTAATGAGAAATTCATCACTTGATGAAGGGTCTGGAAAGAATCCATGACTGCCTGAATTCCTCAATCTTCGTGCGGCCTTTGTAATTATCATATGAGCCTTCTGTCCATTCTTTATCACCCGCTGTAATCAAGACATTTGCATCAACAGACAAGCATTCAAAATTCTCTTCAGGGCCCTAGCAAAACATCTGATGACTCCTTCTCACTAGCCTTTCTAATTCGTTTGTTGGGAAGCCCTTTCTGATTATGGCCTCTGTGCCTCGAACTTAACTCATACCCTGAAAAAGGCACTGAATGTGATACTTGTGTATGTGGCTTTTTGGGTCTGTTGCTAAAATCATTGTAAAGAGAGTCAGACTTGCCATTAGACCACAGACGTGACTGGGATCTCAATGACATCGAACTATTCCGGCTCTGGTAAGAACTTCTTGGTGTTTGAGACGACATTATGTGGTCATAACGCTTTGACATTATATTCGAATTTTTTGCAGGCTGCATGATGTTGCTCAGAGGACGATGGCGGTAATGCTACGGCAGTTGGGTTTACTTTCAGTTTTCATACAACTTCTACACGGGGACAACATGTTGTAAGTGTCATAGATAAGTGATGTATTTGTCTCCTTCCTTAAAACATATATTGGTTGTCTGCTGAGTTTAAACAAATGCTCGAATTTAGGAGTTGTATCATGTACTTCCATATTCTAAACCGCTCGGTTTTCTTGCAGGGGCGTTCTATGCTGTTAGGTTCTCGCAAATTGACAGATAGTAACTGTATCCGTTTGACATTGTGTGCTCCTTGCGATGAGCTAATAGCTTGTCAAGAGCTCGAAGATTAAGTTCATGCCCAAAACAATACAAAGGCTTCAGAACTTCTTTCAGGTGGCAATAGACAGTGGGAAGCTCTGATGAATAAGCTTGTTTAGGGTGAACAAGATAATACGGTTGAGTCCCAAAGGTAACACGACATTCAATTTTGCACTTGGAATAAAAGAAGCACCAAATTGATTATGCTGACTGTCTCAAAGTAGTTTGAGGTGCACAACTTATGCCATTCACCTATTTCGGTTATGACTTCCTTTTCGAAGTTCCGCAGGGAATTAACCTACTGTGCTGATACGCAGGTGTAACCCGAGCTTTTGCATTTGAGTTGACGGCTATAGCTGCCGAGAAGAACCGGCTGTAGTAAGACAAACTGTTGCAGCTGTTGTGGCATGTAAGTATTCCCTTCTCTTATTCTAACTTAGTAGTTTGGCTGTTGCAATATCTGACATTGTTATGGCGTTCATGGACCTGTACAGCTGATCTGACAGTGCGCGGAACTAACAAATTCCTTCTCCAGATATATTAACTTCACCAAGACTGTAAACATTCAACCTCTGCAGCAGACGCTGGTGATTCATACTGGCGTTGTTCATGGTGGGGAAGAAAGAACTTATGCGGGGCACATGAGGAGCAGGTTTGAAATTGACGAGGCACCGGATGACTGACCCGTCTAATTTCGCATACTTCCTTGCTCTGGTTTGATGCAGCTTAGGATTGATTTGGGAAAAGCTAACTAGGTCGTACCACCAATGCCGGCAGGTGGTTCGAAGATGTGCTCATTCTGCAGAGTTCCCTCTTGTAAAGGTAGTTTTGGTATCACTGGAGAGATCCAAATCCGATTGAAGTCTTCACCAGTTGTTGTGTCGTTGCTGTTGTTGTTGTTTTCAGGAGACATTCGTAAACTGGGATATTCAAGAGTATTGTGTGGGCAAGGCACTGGCTTTCGTAATACGCTCACCCTCTCACAGTCGAACAAAGTGCAGTCGAGGGTTTCGGTAATCAGGTTTCGATTAGGAATTCTTTACCGTTCTTTATGTTTTAATTTCCTCTTGCCAAAATCGAACTTTAATCCTTTACTATGCTGATGCTTGATTTTCTGACCTTATGTGCGCAGGAAAAACAATTTACTGCTGATTGCTTCAACTGGGCGATACCTTCATTGGTCCTTCCGGCAAAGCAAACGACAAGAGTTCACAACCCATCCTGATTCATAGCATGGATCTTTACAAATTGGCAAATATTGCGAATTGCGATGGTTACAAACAGGCTGATGGAAAAAAAACAACTTCGAGCTTGTTACGTTCTAGAAACTCCACTGTATTGAACTAGCATTTCTTCTGGAATTTCGTTATTATCCGACTTGCACGGCTGCCGAAGGCTTAAAACTTCTTCTCTTTTCAAGTTATTAGCTAGTCGTTAAGAACTTCTGATAATGTCATCTGCTGTGAATGTTGAACTTATTTTTGTAACCACCCGAGTAGTCCTTTATCTGGTTGTAAATCTTGGCTTCACTTTGAAGTTTGCAAAACGGAAGTGGTTTCAAGTGCTTGGCTTCGATAAGTTTAGCAATTTAAATTTTGACTCTTGAAAGGTTGAATTATAATTCTTGTCATGAAGAAAAGAGCTGCATTTGCCTTACAACTTTAGGATTCCTTTTCATGTAGTTCCAGTTTTCTTACAAAACCAATGCACCTTATTCGGTAGCATTTGTATGAGTTATGACTTGTATGCCTTGTAGTTGTAAAGACTTGTATGGTTGAAAAGAACCTTTGAGTGGGCACTTCATAATTGCATCCAATATGTTCATAGAACAGAAAAAGAAAGTCCATTGTAATAAGTTGTAAACCTATTGTTGAGTAGGTTATGAATTGAAAACCTATGCACGCTTTGAATTACCATTCCAAGACTGAGTAACCTTACTATGCATTAAATTGGGAGGAGCTTGAATTTAATCTTCTTCTTGTATCCTTAAAAACTTGAGAATGGGGCATCTTAAACTTGTAATCTCCCTTTTTTTTTAAAAAGGTTTGAGACATTTGAAACGAATCCCTCGAACATGAATCTTGTTTTCAAAATTTGTCAATCCTCATGTCACAAAATCAAAGATCACTCTCAAATAACCATGCTTAACATTAAATCCAACTCCTTTTCATAAGTACACACTAAGGCTTTTAGGGGATACCGACAAGACCTCATACTTAAACTGAATCAAACCCAACTGTCCATGAGAATGAATGCTGGTTCACTTGGAATTACTACATCTGCGCAAGCTGGTTAGTCACAAAAAATATAAATATTGAAATAAAGTCGAATAACAATAAAAAATGCGCAAAAAGAGGTGGCTTCCTACGGTCAAAAATTAGGGTGCAACACATGGCCCACGAAATGAAAAAACAGATTAAAGCCCTAATTAGACTCACTTAAAAGCTCATTAACGAAAAATGAGAATGATAATGACCTTGATTAAAACTCTAATTAATACTAAACAAAACTCAATACCTTCTAGACCCAATTAAAACTAATCAATCCTATTAAACTTGCTAATTAACATCTAATTAACTCTAAAAAGAAATTAACCTAGAAAAGAAATATTAAACTCTATTAAACCAATTAATATCTATTTTAAAATTCTAGAAAATTCAATTAAATCTATTAAGATCTATTTAAAAAATCTAGAAAATAAAGGGAAAATTCTAAAAAATGCGAGGAAGCCGATTAAATTGATTAAAAAACAGATACGCGAACACAGCGAAATAAGCAGTAAAAACCGGACACCGAGATATCCTCAAAATAACAGCGAGAGCTGAAAACACCGGGACGAGCACCGATTCTCAAAATAAATCCTCGTATTCGAAATGGTATGAAACTGCCTGAAACGTGATCAGAGGGCTGTAATCCCGATAAAGTCAATCTGACTGGAAAAAATGCAATGTACGCGGTATGCAAATGCAAAATGAAATGAGTCGAAACATGAGCCAAATTGCGATAAGCAGTTGGTCAAATTTTGGGGTGCAACAGTTACACATTAAAGTTGTAATCCTATTCTAAAAAAGTGAACTAAAATATTGCATTAGTCTTAGTTTGTGGCACTTGTGAGCCCTGTGTCAACACGGGTGGTGGTTCTTTTGTCGGATCTTTCTTTTGCTTCTTTGCCTTGTTCTTCCTTTGGGCAATTGTCGGTCCGCCACATTTTTTCCTTTGCAAGTTCTCAAGTTGTGCCCAAAATTCCCACAACTTTTATGCTTTACAGTTGCAGAATGCCTTGGTAATATATTGCTTAAACTCGGTTTGTCATTAGCTTTATTTCTCTTATTCTTCGGTCTACCCGGAGCTCGTCTCATCACCGGTGGATTAATTGGAGCTCCTTGAGATTTTGGCAAAAGTCTTGGTCCATTAGATGGGAGAACGACGTATGAATACGTTGCATAAAACTTGTTTTTTCTGCAGTACACAAATGTATATCAGAATCAATATAAGTTCCCAATATCAGTTACCAATATCAGAATATATGCATAATAAATAGTAGGATTGAACAGTAATAGCATGATTGAACATAATAGCAGGAATTAACACTAATAGTCGGATTAAACTTAATAGCAGGATTGAGCACTAATAGCATAATTGAGAATAATAGCAGGATTGAACATAATAGCAGAAACTAACATAATAACAGGAATTAACGCTAATAGCAGAGTTGAACATAATAGCAGGATTGCATATATTAGCAGGAATTAACATAATAGCAGGATTGAACATAATAGTAGAATTGAACATAATAGCAGGAATTAACAGTAATAGCAAGATTGAAGTTAATAGTAGGATTGAACACTAATTGTAGAATTGAACATAATA